AAGAGCGATGAACATACATTACTCCAGTTGGATGATATTATTTTCTCAGAAATTACACTCTATAAAGAAAAAAAACAACATTGATTGATAGGGATGGGTGAGTTCGTGAAGAACAGTCTTTGTTTCCAGAATTAGATGAACACTTGAAAAACCTCTTCATAAAAACAGAAGCTTAATCTAACAACAACACAGTGGTCAAAGTTAACATTGAATCTNCTCATGAGATTCATATACCTAAGGCAGTTCTAGTCTTTAGTACTCATTCTGTAAAAAGACAACACTGGAACTAACTATCAAATCCCCACAAGACCTCATCATGCCTTCCAAGAATATCCCATGCTTTCATCAACATCACTGCTAAAAAACCCGTTATTCGCAAAGTTGAGAGAGGTGTTAGAGACCATACCTTCCTGGTTTTGGCTCTGCTCTAACCCCTTTACGCCTCTGAATCTGTTGGACGTACTTGGTGTTTCCGCTGTTACCGTAATGTTCTGTGTCCCATAATCTGTTCTGTTTCTTCCCATGTTGATGTTATTACAATTCATGTTCTGACCAGAAAGTGACTGTTGCTGTTGCTGCGCGGAGCCTCCATTGCTGTGCGCCATCTGTTGCCATATTTGGTGAATCATCTGTTGTTCCATTGTTTGGTTATTGCTACTACAGGTAGGTTGCGGGTGGTATTGCTGGGTTGAACTATTATAACTGGAGCTTGGCATTTGTCGCTGAGGAGATAAAAGGGAAGAAACACTGCTTATTGATGGGCTCTGCACAAAACCCGATAACAAAGGACTAGTTCCTTGATAGCTAGGGGATGGGCTCGAGTTTCTTGATGGTTCTTGTTGGATTGTGGCGTTTGTTGGTTCTGAATTCAGATGGTTCTGTTTCATTAGCATGGTCTGGTAGTTGGTAAGCGCAAAGGCGGCAGCTTGTGAGCCGGGAAGAGATCCTTGACCGCTGCCCATATTGTTCATCGGAATGTTTATCCCAGTATTGCGCAAGGCCATTAACTTGTTGAGACTGTTCCTATCAGGTGGAAGTCCTCTAGCAGCATTTGCTAGTTGCTCCATCTCCTGCATCTGCACTTTACCAGTCTTCATTTGATATGGATAGCTCTTCAAAGCCTCTGCAAATGTAAAAAGGCAGAAAGCTATACATAAGCACAAACAAACAGAAAGAAAAATGTGTTTTGATGAATCACAAGAAAAGTCTGGGCATTATGTATGAAATTACCGATTGGACCAACTTTTCGATCACGGCAGAAGTCAATCATATCTTTCATGCTGCTAACAACCTCAGAAATCTGTATAGAAAAAACAAAGACAAAATTAGTCAGAAAGGATGATGCAGATAAATTAGGAAATTGCTATATGACGAAAGCAAGTAGACGGATACCTGCAAACACCGAACATATCGTTTGGAGAAGCCTAAGTCATTGAGTGAATGTGACTCCAAGCTTTTCGCTAGTTGACGTCCAGCAGCCATGACCCTGGAGCAAAAAGACTTCAGCACATCATAATTGTATCTATTAAGCTGAAATCACTTTGATTTTCATTGCTTAAGTGCAGAAACTTACCTAATCACCATACTAGATGCAAGAATTAATGAAATTGAATTGAATGGAGAAACAATGAGAAAGAAAGGTAGAAGTCGTCTAGACTCATTGACTCACATGTTGCTATTGGCTTGCAAATCCTGCTGATGAATCCCGTCTGATCCACTTTGATCGATTGTGCTCTGACATTTCTCTGCAACCTGAAGCAATTGGTTCACCTGCATGAACGAAGGAGACAAGATATTCCAAATCTCAGGACCAGGCATTCCAAATCGTTTCAAAGACTCAAGAAAACAAATGTTACCTGTGGGGCTACAAGACGACGAGGAAGTAGCTCTTCATGTCGGCGAGTACAGAACTCCCATGAGAGAATCTGGTGAAAAGCAGAAGGATAAGCTAAACTATTCTAATACATAAAAGGAAGAAAAGTATTTGGAATCGAAAGCTCTATGAACCTGAAGCTCATGGGAGAATATAATCCGAAGATGGCCTTCACGAACAACACGGATATGTTCATACACACTCTCTTGAACTGCTTTTGCATACTCTAAGGTCATAATTCCAGAAGGAAATCTGCGTTCAGATGGCACGCCCAGATAAAGAAGCTCGTCAAGGACACCGCTTGCGAATTTGATTTCGTTAAGCCTTGGCAAGACATCAAAAGTTGCTTCTGCAGAATTTATAAGAAACCTTATTAAGAGATGTTTCACTACAATAAACATTTTTATATTTTCATTCTTCTTATTAATCAGGAGATAGACAATGTTGTTAACTCTTGAACTTACCAAATCCTCTTCCCGATTTAGAACCACAAAGATCACACTGCCATTCATCCTGCACATTGCATAAAGACAAACAACCATAATAAGTTTACACTGAGTTATATCATATGCGTAATTACACTGTAAGACCAGCATATAATAAGCAAGGAATATCAAAACAAAGAGAAAGAGAAAACATGGCAAAAGTTACAAACTGTTATACACTTGCAAACTCAATATAAATCTACGTACTGTCTTATCCACGTTTTGGAGTATAAACCAGCAAAAATCGAAAAAGTTAAAGAGACAAACCGTGGCTGCCTGAGGAGAAACACCGAGTGCGCTATGCCCCACATTATCGTAATGAGAAAGACACCATCTTTTCTTTGCACGGGGGGAAAAATATTCTTTCACAAATTTCCTCCAATAAACAATACTGCTCTCCTACAAATTCAGTAAAGACAAGAGTGGTATCTGTCAAGAGCTTTTTTCCTAGCATATACATAGAACAAAAATCGTGAGGGCTACACGTATACTCACAGAAGGCCTTTGTCGCTGATGAAATAGGTACTGCATCAATCTTCGAGCACAAACGCTATTTTCATTAGGTCGCGGCCCACCTCCTAGTTGCATCTGCATTCCT